ACCTGGGCACCCCCACCACTTCTGGTGGCCCCCAGAGCTCCAAGCTGCCGCAGGCAGTGGTGGTACCCCGCAGCTCCCAAATGCCGCAGGTGGCGGGGGAACCCCTGAGCTCCCAACTGCAGTGGGTGGTGGGGGCCCCTGGAGCTGTGAGTGATGGGGAACTCTGCAGCTCCCAATTGCCACAGGTGGCAGGGGAACCTCCAAGCTCCTGGCTGCCGCAGGCCCCTGGAGCTGCAGCAGCAGGGGTACCCTGCAGCCCCCAGCTGCTGCAGGTGGTGGGGGCCCCGCAACTCCCAGCCGTGGGTAGCGGAGGACCCTGGAGCTCCGACAACCCACGGTGGGGGCCCCTGCAGCCCTAGCTGCCGCCCAGCTGCCCCGTGGCAAGCGGTGTGGGGACCTGCAGATTCCCATTTTGTCACGGATATTTTTAGTCAGGGCTGGCTCCCAAGCAAGCAGGTGCTTGGGGCGGCCAACGGAGAGGGGGCAGCACGTCCGGCTCTTCGGCAGCAATTCGGCGGTGGGTCCCTCAGTCCCTCTCGGAGGGAAGGACCTGCTGCCAAATTGCCGCTGAAGAATGAAGCGGCGCGGTGGAGCTGCCGCCAAAGTGCCGCTGATCACGATCGCGGCTTTCCCCCCCCCCCCCCCCCCCACCGCTTGGGGCGGCAAAAACCCTGTAGCCGGCCCTGTTTTTAGTAAAAGTCAGGGACAGGTCACAGCTTCCGTGAATTTTTCTTTATTGCCCGTGACCTGTCCCTGACTTTTACTAAAAATATCCATGACAAAATCTTAGCCTTAACTATATGAGATAAAAATATATTTTCATATTTAGTGTCTATGATTTCTTTAAAACATAGAACTTTGCCCCAACAGACAGGGTTTTTTAGAAACATCTGCATAGTGATGTCCTAATAGAGTGTAGTAAATGCGTTTGAGATCCAGATTGACATATCTAATCAGATTATTCTTACTAACAAAAAGAACAGCTGAAGGCACAAAATGTCTTTATGGTAACTGCTGACTTCAAAAACAAAAAAACAAAAAACAAACAAACAGTATTGCAGTTGGCTTAAGGCCATTGAAGAGTTTGTTCTTATTTAAGGGCCCCAGCCTAACATCAGCATGAGGCACAGGCCTCTTCCAGAGCAATACTGGTGAGATGTTACTGCAAAATCTTACCAGAAATGTTTCAGCAAGTGAAAAGAGTTCTGCTGCATGACCCATCAGATTGCTGTTCTGGTAAGAGATGAACCCATAGGGCCTGATGATTTGCCAAATTACTGAACCTTGTCAACACCACTTGAAGTCAATGGGAGCCAGGAGTGGTCAATACCTCTGAAAAACAGCTCCACAGCACCTAATTCATCCCTGTTCTTATTCTGCTGAAGTGACTTTACACCAGGGATGACTTTGGGCCACAGGGCCAAGTTCTAGCCTCATTTACATCCATACAATCTCACTGAGGTTGGATAGTGTCACCGAGGTTAGAATTTAGCCCATAAAAATAAAATGGCTCTGGGCTGTTTGAGTTATATAATAAAACCTGAGATAAAGATAAAGATATCTTAAAACACAACTCTTAAGCATCAATCACATCTGAGTGGTTCACAATCATCACTGCTATGTTAACAGGCCAGCAATATGGCTAAGCGCACCATACTGCATTCCGCAGCTACCAATCTATATGATCATTCAGAAGAATGTGCCAGACCTTCTACATGAAATTCCAATTCCCCGTGGCACTAAGTCACCTTTTTGATTTCCAGATTACCACTCAAGGCTGACACAATATGAGGTACATACATCCCACTGCAGGCACGTGGCTGTTCGTGTATAAGGAATGTGTGTATGATGTACAGATTGTAATGGAATGAAATAATACAATCGGAAAGGCAACCAACTCATATTTATAAATATTTCAGATTTACTATCTGAATAATACCCAGGACTTTTACTGCACTTTATTTATTCAAAGCTCTTTGCAGACATTAACTAATGAATTTCCCTTTCCCCCCCCCCAATACCTCTAGGAGGTAGGTAGATAAATATTATTATCCCCAATGTACAGATAGGGAAACTAAGGTAGGTAAATCCAGGATAAGAACTCAGCATTACCTGACTCTTAGGCCTGCACTCACTCCTCCAGGCCACACTGAATGGCACTATAGCTGTCTTACTGTATGAAACTACAGTAACCTAGCCATCGCCATACTGGATCACAACAGTGGGCACTCAGTCCAGTATTCTGTCATTGGCTGTAGCCAATACCACATGCTTCAGAGGAAGGTGGAAGAGGCCCATTCAGTATGAACATGTCCTAAGGACAGGTTTCTTTTGAATCTCAGGCAACTATGCCCAGATCTTCAAAGGTATTTAATGGCGTTAGGTGCCTAAACACATTGGAGGATCTGGGCTTGGTGCTTGGCTTATGCTGTAAGCATGAGGGTTTATACTTCTTGCACATTATTTATACCTCTTGTTCTCATTATTCATGGATGTGTCTAATCCTTTTTTGGATCATGCCACACTCTTAATCTCAGTCAGACCTAGTGGCAACAAGTTCCACAAGTTTATTATGTATTGCATAAAAAACTACTCCCTTTAATCAGTTTTAAATTTATTGCTTTTCAGTTTTATTGGACATCTCTTTGTTCTTGTATTATGAGAAGGGATACACAGGAATATCGAATTTACCTTCTCTATCCCATTCATTGTGTTGTAAACCCCTTTCACGTCTCCTTTTACACCTCTCATCTCTACACTCAACAATTTCAATCTTTTCCAAAGTCTCTTTATGCCTTTAAATCATTTTTGTCACCCATCTCAGAGCCCCCTCATTTTCTGATATCTCCTTTTTTATATAAGATAACCAAAACTGAGTGCATCATTACAGCAGATGGTGTCCCATTGATTTATTATAACAGCATTATAATATTTTCAGTGGCATTCACTCCCACATTCATTACATACCCTAACATCCATCTTTGCTGTTTTTGGCCACCATTGCACAATTATACTTGTTTAACAATACATTGAATCAGCAGTAAAGAGCCTTGTCTAGTGGTTAAAGCAGATGATTCAGAAGCAAGATTTCTGGGTGCTATCCTGGCTCTGTCACTGGGCAAGTGACTTAGCCCAGCTTCTCAAAGGCATTTAGGCACCTAACTTCCATTGAAATCAATGGAAGTTATTGGAGCCTAAATGCCTCTGAGGATTTGGGCCTTAGCCTCTCTGTGCTTTAGCTTCCCCATCTGTAAAATAGAGATAATGATATTTATCCAAGAATTAATTCATTAATGGTTGTGAAATTCTTCGCTATGCTCAGATGGGCGCTCCTATAAGAATGCAAAGGGTGAACAGTGTTGGCTAATCAATAGAGTCTAGCACTAGGATTGAAAAGCCCTGGGTTCTAGTCCAATCTCTACTCCTGGCCTGCTGGGTGACAGTGGGCAAGTCATTTCCTGTTTCTGTGCTTCAGTTTCCCCATCTGTAAAATGGGAATAAAGACCATCTCCATAAAGCACTTTGAGATCTACTGAAAAGTGTTATACAAATGATAGGTATTATTATTGTATTAAGTATGTCATAAGATTTGCTCAGCAGCTTGGATCACTAAACAATCTAGTCCTGTGGCCAACCACAGGAAGTCAACGCCATGCACCTAATCAGTTGTCTACAACTGTGTGTCCCAGAATCCCTGGCACAGTGGCCAGACTTCCCTAATCGCTGTGCGCTAGGACAGTCATCTCTGACTACTATGCTCGGGATTAGGGAGCCTCTCTGTCCATGGGCTCAAGCTGGTAGAAGTGTTTTCTCTGCTCTTGCTGCAATATTACCACCCCACCCAGAAAGTCCCTTCTGGATTGTGAGGACAGCAGGCCTACACCAGACATCTCCCAATCCCAGATACTTGCTCTGTGAGCAGCACTGGTGCCACCCCACCCCTAAAGGCTTATAATGACCCTGATTAAAGAACATCTAAAGTAAAACGAGAGCCCCATGACTCCTTGAGGGGTGAGAGGGCTAGGATGCATCCCTGAAAGTCACAGTTCTTAGGACTCAACCCTCAAAGTGAACCTGAAGGACACAGTTTGCTGCCAGCCCTTCACAAACCAAACTTTAGGGTTTAGCTGGTGAGACCCGCAGTACAGCAAACCCTACAGCACAGTTAGGAGTGGGAGGTCACCAAGGACAAGAGAGCAGGAAGCAGCATGCTCAGGGTATGGGTTGCTCCTCATGTCTCACTGCAGAGACCTCCTCAACGCTCAGTGGCTGATCCAAGCCAGGAGCAGTGCCCTTTCCTTCCTGAGGACTTATTGGGAAGGAAGAGGAATTTCTGGACACTGAGAACAAAGCAGCAAGAAGTCATTGTGCCCCTTGCTACAAATCCATTTCAATAGGAGGTGAGTATTAGTTGTGGGTCTGACCCATCTCTCACATGGCACAATCATTCCACACTGAGAAGGGGGCAGAGCACTGTCACGTGAGACTACAGAACATCACAGCTGGCACAGGATTCCCATCAACTCTTCTTTCCCTCTCTGACTGGACCAGTTTAGGGGTCCCACTTCTAAGATTAGGGTGCAGCTGGGTGGGGTAGATTTATTTAACGTCTGTTAACTGGTGTCTGTAGCAGCTCCAGGGGCACGGTTGCCATAAAGCCAGCAACACAGGAAAAAATGCCTCTTTCCTCCAGAAAAGACAGAAGTGCTTCTCTGCTGGCTGGAGACAGAGATTATGTTTTGCATCCCAGCCAGGTGCAGAAAGCAGGTGAAAACTACAAGCAGCTTTTCCCTTGGGGATCTAGTTACAGTGTTTTGCACAGTTGCCTTGGGAATGTAAAATTACAGGATCGCCTGTGTTCAGGGGAGATAGCTGGGACATAGGCAAGTACTGAGAGCCCATTCTCCACTTACCTGTTGCAGGAAGAGCCCCAGAGGGAACGACATGAGAGAGAAGGGATTGAAGAAGAAGTAGGAGGGAGCTGCCAGGCTGAAACTTACCTTTTCTGCTGCAGCAAGTTGATTTCATCCAGGCGTCTGGTCCAGGATTTTTCACTCTGAAACCTGCGCAACAGAGAGTTCCAGAGCCCAAGGAGCAGCCCATGATCCCCAGGCAGGAACATCCCCATTGTCCTGTGTTCTCCTCGTCAGCTGAACTCAGACCTGCTGCTCCATCCCCTTCTTCCTGTGATGTTTCTTTGTGAATGGCTCTCTACCCCTTCGTTCCAAGAGGGCAAGATGATCTGAGTGGGAGATAGATGCTCCTTCAGAAAATATCAGTTTGGGAGACAGGTGGATGGTTACAACATTTGGTTGAGGCAGGCGTCTGGCTGTGTCTCAGAAACAGATACTACCTGCTGGGGAATTGCTGAAAGCGAGAACACACCCCTCTCTACTAAGTTACCTTCTGATTTAAAGAGACACAGCTTTGTTTGGAAGCCGCTCACACTCCCACATGTCTATTGAGCAATCTCACTTCTAAACTATACAGAACTTCCAGTGGATATTTTAAAGCTGATAAGAAGTTTTTTAAAAACAAGCAAAGGATGTAAAGGATGTATTGGTATCTGCAGGACATATTTGCTCCTCTGTGTGTCTCCCTGTACAAGAGGAGAGAATGAGATGAGACAGTGAATGGGAAATTTGGCCTAGGCACACAGGCAAACTGCTTCAAGCAAATCTTCCCCTCCCTCCATCACCACACTCACAAACACATGCTGTAAAATCATTTGATGGGACTAGGATGACCATGGGTCCTTGAAAACAAAGCCATTTACAGTTCTGTCCCACAGTTCCGGTTGGTAGTATATAAATCAGTGTTTTGTCCAATTTGTATACATCCGTGCAGATTGTAAAAGCTGCCTGTCAGTTCAGCTGGTCACAATGACTAGAGCTAGGTGACATTTTTAAAGAAAATAATTAATTTGCTGAAAAATGCAGTTTGGGTCAACTCAAAACTATTTGCGAATTTTAGATGAATTCACAAAATAGTTTTGGACCAAAAATTTGCGGGAGAAGGATTTAAACACCATTCACAAAACAGCAAGAAAAGAAATAGCAGAAGAAGGTGAAGGCAGGGGTGGCAGGTATTCATCCAGCATGTGGGTGAGTCAGGTTTAATTCCCCCCTCTGTCTCTAGAGAATTCCGCATTACAAAAGAGCACTCTGACCACTGGGCCATGGGATATTCTGAGGTGTGTTTGTGTGTGGAGGGGGCGGGAGGGGGGGTCTTTCAATTTCTGCTATTGAAGCTGTTACAGTTTGTATAAATAATTAAATATTTATTGGCACAGGGACTTGAACTTGGGCCTCCCCTGTCTGTGCCCTAACATGGGCTATTCAGTCATTCTCACACTATCTTTTTGTCCCAATGTCATTATCATTATGAATGACTATGAATTGCCATTATGAAAGACAATGGGTAGTTATTGGTCTAGGGAAAGTGTGTGAGAATGATTGCATAGCCCTGTGGTTAGAGCAATCACCTGCCGGAGGAAGTGGGGGAGATTGAACCTGAATCACCCATGCCCTGGATGCGTGCCCTAACCTCTGGACTAAAAGATATGAGCAGAGGTGACTCCTCTGGCCATTTGTGAATCTAGTGCCTGGAAAAATGCCCCAAATAAAACCATTTCAATTTGCCAAAATTTTTCACAGTGTTAGGATTTGGTTCTACCAGAACTGATTTTTTTTTTTCAATTTTTTGGACCTGCCAGTGAACTGAAAAATGAGTTATTTGCCAAGCTCTGCTGAAAACAGCCTGGCTCAGCACATTACTCCTAGGGGAATTCTGCACCACTGCACAAAGCAGAATTTGTGCAGAATTCCATGTTTCCCCCACAGAATTGGGGCTGCAGAGCTGCTGGCTGCCAGTAGGGGCCACTGGGCTCTGCAGAACACAGGTTTGCAGTGCGCAGAGTGCCTAGCCCAGTGGGGATGAAGGCTCTGCAAGCTCTGGCTGCTCGGCTTAATACTCATTCTCTTGGAGACAGGAGAGGTCCTGGGAGACCAAGCTCTGGCAAAGGGTGAAGAAGGGCAGGGCCGCACCGCGACACATCCCCCGGCTGGACAGTAAAGAAGCTAGGGGGAGTAAAGGCTCTGGGGGTGCAGGTGTCTGGGTTCTGGGGGGAGGGAATGCAGGTGTCTGGGCTCTGAGGGCCCCACGCAGCCCCCTCCAACACCTCCCAACTGGAAGTGGGTTGTCATAGGGGGTTCTTTAACTCTCTACTCCTGGGAGAATCTTTTTGTTGTTGTTGTGTGTATTGTTGACATACTTGTTGACAGGTATTTTGAAATAAAGTATCAAAATTATTCAAACTGGAGTGATTATATTGTGCTATTTTGACAAATAAAATATGCAGAATTTTGCAAAATTTTAAAATACTGTGTTCAGAATTTTTGGCACAGAATTCCCCCAGGAGTAGCACATGCACATCCCAAAGACCAGCTCACCTCAGCCAATGCTGCTATCCTCTCCTTTCCCACCAGGAGGCCTGCGAATGAGCCCCCTTTCAATGAGTCCTGGAACCACTCCTCCCCCTGCATGTATAGTAAAATATGTAGGGTACTGGGGATGGTGAGGAGTGGGGAAGGGAGGAGGGGCTTCAGTTTCACTTCCCATCCATTGCAAGACCCTTCCATGTTCACACCAACAAAACTGTCCCCACAGATTGCCCATTTTTATGACTTGGAAAACCTCACCCCAGATCAGGGTCCCTGGCCTCAAAGCCCAAGAATCATCATATTGCTTCCTCCCTCTTGCCCACCTATCCCAGACTGCTCTGCCTTGCCAACTGGACCTGGATTTCAGCCCATGCAGGTGTGGGGAGAGAAAAGGGCACATGTCCAGACCTGGTCTGTGGTATGGGGATTAGGTCAGTGGATGTTTCTATTAAACAGAGAGCGGGGAACCTGCAATGTGCCCTAGCCAGCACCATGACAAAGGGGGAGACAGCCTGATTTTCTAACTGTTATTAGGGAAGCACACAGCACTGAGGCATGAACAGTAATGATCATACCAGGCAGCACTGCTGCACCCTGCTACCTCTGTAGATTTGGCACCCCTGCCTGAACCTGGCCCCAAGGTGCAGTCAGTCTGCTGAACTCTGTGAGCATAAACCCTGTGAACTCAGAATAAAATCTATCTCACTGTAGCTGGCAATTAGGAGCTGACTCCTGTTTTCTTTTTACAGAAACAATCAGAGCATGGGTGGCTGGGATCATAAACCACTTTCTCTCCCCGTGCCAGGGCCAATCAGGAAGTTAGAGTTGCACTTGTGCAAACATTTGAGTGGGATTATGATCGGAAAAGTACTTCAGTCTACAGCGGCCCCACCAACTCCTGCTGTGTGTGATGGGGTGAGCGAGTTAAGGTTAAATAGAAATTAACCACCCATGAACCTTTTTGTGGGTTTAAAGCAATATGCTGACAATTGTGATCCTCATTATTTTTCATTTAAAGACAGCTTCTATGCTTCCCAGAAGCACCAGGGAAAAGATACTAGTGAAATACCAGCTGTTCTAATGGCCCTAGCTGAGACTACTCTCTCCCATGGGAAGTAGTGGAAGCCACACAACATGAGAGGTTTAAAATCTGACCAGACAGAGCCCTGGAACAGGTATAATCTTGCACTGGTGTAACCCATTGGTGAGTGTATTTTACAAGTCACCCTCTGTGCTGATCCATGAGAATATGAGTTGCTATAGTGCTTTTTCCTCTACCTATTAATTATGGATCCATAGATCAAGCTGTAACAGGCTGTGTTTGTTGTTTTTGTAATAGCTCTGGGGGGGTCTCTGGTTCAGTCCTCAGAGTGGCAGCCAAGTGGCAGTTATTCAGCCCTCCATCAGATGTACTGGGTGAGCTAATTCATTCTCTAATATCCTATTTCTGGCCCTGCCAGCATGTCTGCCACTGAGGCAACTGGCCCCTGCCCCACTCAGAAAATCAAATCACTGCAGATTTAATTTGCCTTTGTGACGGGTTGGATCACAGAAACCCTCTTGGGAGCTGCCACCCGATGTGCCAAGACTACTTCTACCCCTCTTTCCCTGCCAGCTCGGGGCCCCAGCACCCTGTCTTGCTGAGCCAGACACTCCCGTCTGCTCCAACAAAGACCTAGGGTCTGAATTACTTGCCCCAAAGCTGCAGGTTTACCTGAAAGCAGCTGACAGAAGTGTTCCTGTCTTTAACACTCAGATGCCCAACTCCCAGTGGGGTCTAAACCCAAATAAATCCGTTTTACCCTGTATAATGCTTATGCAGGGTAAACTCATAAATTGTTAGCCCTCTTTAACACTGATAGAGAGATATGCACAGTTGTTTGCTCCCCCAGGTATTAATACATACTCTGAGTTAATTAATAAGGAAAAAGTGATTTTATTAAATACAGAAAGTAAGATTTAAGTGATTCCAAGTAGTAACAGACAGAACAAAGTAAGTCACCAAGCAAAATAAAATAAAATGCGCAAATCTATGTCTAATCAAACTGAATACAGATAATCTCACCCTCAGAGATGCTTCAGTAAGTTTTTTCCTCAGCCTGGACACCTTCCAGGCCTGGGCACAATTCTTTCCCCTGATACGGCTCTTGTTCCAGCTCAGGTGGTAGCTAGGGGATTCTTCATGATGGCTTTTCTGTTCTGTTCTGTTCCACCCCTTTATATATCTTTTGCATAAGGTGGGAACCCTTTGTCCCTCTGGGTTTTCACCCCCCCTCACTGGAAAAGAGCCAAGTTAAAGATGGATTCCAGTTCATGTGACATGATCACATGTCACTGTAAGGGTATGTCTACACTACGGGATTAATCCGAATTTATATAATTCGAATTTTGGAAACAGATTGTATAAAGTCGAATGTATGCAGCCACACTAAGCACATTAATTCGGCGGTGTGCGTCCATGTACCAGGGCTAGCGTTGATTTCCGGAGCGTTGCACTGTGGGTAGCTATCCCATAGCTATCCCATAGTTCCCGCAGTCTCCTCCGCCCATTGGAATTCTGGGTTGAGATCCTAATGCCTGATGGGGCCAAAAACATTGTCACGGGTCGTTCTGGGTACATCCTCCCCCCTCTCCAGGGAAGCAACGGCAGACAACCGTTTCGCGCCTTTTTCCTGGGTGAACAGTGCAGACACCATACAATGGCAAGCATGGAGCCCGCTCAGCTCAAGACAGCAGTCATGAACATTGTAAACACCTCGCGCATTATCATGCAGTTTATGCTGAACCAGAACCTGCAAAACCAGGCGGCGAGGAGTAGGCTACGGCAGCACGGC